GGTTGGATCTGGGGCTGAAGAGCCGCGGCGGGGCCAGGAACTGCTTTGTCGGCGGGAGCGTCGACCGCGAGTTTGCCCGCGCCTCGGCGGCGGCGGGCGCGACGGCCGACACGGGGCGCCGCAGCGAGTCGGCGGCGGCGGGTTGGGGCGGCGCGGAGCGCACCGCGGCGTCGCACCAGCCGGCGCACCTGGGCGCGCAACTGCAGCGGCAGCTTGCATACGCGTTCGAGGCGGGGCGCAGCGGCGCGCAGTGGCACAGCTCAGAAACCGCGCTGGAGGCCGTTTGCGCCCGCTTTGGCAAGCTGCCAGAGACGGTCACGCTGGACGAGGTGACCATCCCCACATATGACGAGGTGCGGGCAAGGAGGGCACTGGTTGGCTGCGTGCCGCCCGGCACAACTGTTGTCATGGTGCCTGCAGCCAGCGGCGGCACTGGCGGCGGCGCTGGCGGCGGCGCTGGCGGCGGCACCGGCGGCGGGGCCGCCGGCGGTACCGACGGCGGCGCCGGTGGCGGCATCAGCGGCGGCACCGGCGGCCGCACCGGCGGCCGCACCCGGGGCGGCACCGGCGGCGGCACCGGCGGCGCCCCCGGCAGCGGCACTGTTGCCATAGTGCTACCGGGCGCGGAGCGGCCGCTGGTGCTGCCTGGTGGCGAGTGCACCGTGCTGCGTTGCTACGCGGCCTTCGTCACGATAACCGGCAACCAGGTGCGTGCGCGCTGCGCTGCACCACCGCAGCCTAAGGACTGAATAACACACGTAAGTTTTTTGATACGCTAGGTCCAACAAATACCGTTTGAGGTTCGGGCCGTCTGCATTGGCGGCGTTGGGCGCTGCATGCATGTCGCAATCCACTCGTCTGAGGCACAGAGACACTGTGCGGCATCAAGCACGCCTGCGCCCAGCCACCCAGAGAGCGCATGTGATGCTGCAGCTTGTTGCGACCCCTCATGCAACTAAAATTGGCGCGCGCATGTTCTCATGCAACCCAAATCTGTACCAGGGAGAGGAAGTATACGGCTTTGCCCTGCACCGCCAGCCCGACCAGGCCGCTCAGGCGGCCGGCTGTTACCTCCTGTCAGCCGCGGAGCCGCAGGCGCGCGCAAAGTGCCACGCCAGCGCGCCGCGCGACCGCAGCGACGGATTCTACGGGGGCGGCGGCGGGCGCGTCGCCGCAGCGTATGAGGAGGGCGAAGAGGCTGTGCAGCCACTGGCGGCGGCGGCGGCGGCGGATGAGGGCGCGGCGGCCGCGGCGGCGGGCGAGGATGAGGGAGCAGCGGCCGGCGGAGCGGCGGCGGCGGGGGACGGCGGTGATGCAGCCGTGCCGGCGGCGTTGATTGACGGCGAGGCCGCCGCCGCGGCGGGCGTGGATGAGGGCGCGGCCGCGGCGGCCGTCGCAGTGCAGGCGGCGGTGGAGGACGGTGGGGCCGCCTTGGCGCTCGCGGCCGCCGGCGGCTGGGCCCCGGAGGCGGCGATGGTGGACGGGGCAGAAGGCGCGGCGGTGGCGCTGGACGACAGCGGGGACGAGGCGCCAGCAGCGGCGGTCGACGACGGCGGGGCTTTCGCGCCCGTGGCGGGGCAGGAGGGCGGGGGCGGGGCGGCGGTGGAGATGGAGGTGGACGAGGCGGACGGCGGGCAGGACCTGTCAGAGGTGGTGAGGAGGTGGCAGCACGCAGGACAGCAGTACGACTTCTATGAGGACGAGGAGCAGCGCGGCGGCGGCAGGGCGCATAACGATCAGCTCCGGAGGGCGCTCCCTGCAGTGTCTGAAGAGGTGGGGGAGGACGAGGCAGAGGATGAGGATGAAGATGACGGTGAAACGCAGGCAGACAGGCTGGAGCTGCAGGGGCAACGCAGGCCGCGGCAGCGCCGGCAGGAGGTTGAACAGCAACTGCGGGATCAGGAGGTCGAGGAGGTCGAGGGCGACCGCCGCCGCAGCCCAGACCCGAGCGGCTCAGCTGGGCCTGACGCGCCGTCTGGGCAAGCCCGCGAGGGCTACGCACCGGCGCGGTACGGCTTGGTGCTGCTGCCCAGCGCGAACCTGCTGCGCGGGGTGCTGCGCAGGATGGCTGCACTTGAGGAGCGCCACGGTGGTGGCTTTCATAGCGCCCCGGACGTCCTCCTGGCCCTTGACCTGTATTTCAAGCAGCAGCAGCAGGTGGTGGAGGTCGGCGTGCAGCAGCTTACCATCGACCTTTCAGCGCCTGACGCTGAGGCGGTCCTGCGCCAGCACCTGCCTGATGGTGTTGTGCTGCAAAGGTTTGAGCGGCCCCGTGGAAAGCCTGGCCCTCCCCTGCAGCTGCGCACCGCCCCCGACGGCCGCCAGGTCACCGCGCTCTACTGCGCAAACGAGGTTGCTGTGCTCTATCGCGTCACCATGGCGGTGAAAGCGCCGCCGACATCGGATCAAAACCCCGAGGTGATTATCAAGTGGCTGGGCAGGTAGAGGGGGCTAGAACCTTGAATGCCGGATTTTGCAAGGTCAATGATGATTGTATACGATTTTCAATTATGATTTTCTCAAAAAATCTTCCAGCCCTGACGAGCATTACCTCATGCATCGGCACGCGTTGCAGGCCGAGGCAGAGGATGCAGAGCCGCTGGAGGCTGTGTCCTCTTGGGCGCTCGCGACAACGGTCCTCGAGGCGGCGCACCGCGCAGCGCACCAGATTATGTGTGTGCTGCTGTCATACACAAAAGATAGCGCCCACCCTCCTGCGTTTTGGGCCTGGTGGGCACATCGATATGAAAGGCAACCTCGATTCAAAGGGCAAGCAACCTTTATGGCACAGGTTCTGGGGGGGTTTGGCAACGCAAACATTTGAGCAGTCAAGGGGTGCCTGAAGGGGGCAGGCACACTTGGCATTGAATGGAACTGAACCTGGGCCAGCTGAGGGTGTCACAGCCTGCTGGCTCCTGACCTTGCAACCATGTGTAAACACGAGTCTGTTTCGATCATAATCTTTGCTTACCTGCGGTTTGCATGCTGCTGCTG